ACAAGACACAGAATAATAAAATAACAATGTGATAAAGTGACTGACACAGGAAACACTTCAAAGAGTCAACAACTGGGATCTCATCCTATTAAAAAGCTTTTGTACATCAAAAGAAATCACCAACAGAATGAAAAGACAACACACAGAGTGGGAAAACATTTTAGCTAGTCGTCCCTCAGATAAAGGACTTATATCTAGACCATAGAAAGAATTGAAAAAACTCAGACCCTCCCCCGAAATTGAAAGACCTAATCCAAAAATGGGCATCTGAGATGAATAGACACTTCTCAGATAAAGAAATAGAAATACCAAATACATGAAAAAATGTTCAACATCATTGGTCATTCAAGAGATGCAAATTAAAACAACACTGATATTTCATCTAACCCCAGTAAGAATGGCTACCATCAAGAAATCACCTGACAACAAATGCTGGAGGGGCTATGGGGAAAAAGGAACACTTCTCCACTGTTGGTGGCAATGGAGACTGGGGCAACCACTTTGGAAATCAGTCTGGAGATTCCTCAAAAAATTAGGATTATGGGTCCCATTTAACCTAGCTATTCCCCTTCTGGGTATTTTCCCAGAAAAATTAAAAACATCATACCATGGCGAGATATGTGCACTGATGTTTATAGCAGTGCAATCTGTCATAGCAAAATCTTGGAAACAATCCAAAAGCCCATCAACTGAGGAATGAATAATAAAGATGTGGTATTTTTATACAATGGAGTATTACTCAGCTATAAAGAAAGATAAACTTGAGGCTTTTATAGGTAAATGGATGCAATTAGAGATCATACTCATAAGTGAAATAAATCAGACCCACATGTGTAAACACTGTATTGTCTCCCAGTGTAAGAACCTGAAAAAGTAAATAAAATCTGAAAAGTGCAATAGGTATTGTGAAAGGGAAAGAAACTGCTTAATAGGAGAGAACAACTGGAATGAGGGAAAGGAGAAAAGAAAGAAGGGAAAAAAATATATATATATACACATGATAGCTAAGATTATACTACTAATTTCTATTGGTTTATTGAAAGGAACAGTTAATGTTTGTTTGATCAATCTTGCATACCTATATCTTGTAATCTGAGCAACTACTTTGAAGATAAAATAAGTAATACAACAACCATTGCTGATTTCCTGTCATCTTGTTTTGAAATTATGTATCATTTTTATTGTTTGTGTGTTGTTTTGTTTTTGTCTTTTTGTTATTTTTTTAATTAAAAAAAAACTATTGACAAAGTGAAAAGTTTTCAAACTAGTGAAAAATACATTGAAACCTAAGGATGATATTAGATACGTTACTGGAAATAATACACGGCCACAGGGCAGCACTATCTTTCAGGAATTGACAGAAAAAAAATACCTGAATGCAAACCATAATTTCCTAACTATTCCAGCAAGGTCAAACTGAGAACCAAAGACACCACATGATAACATCTTATCTCCAAGTTCTGTGACAAAGCTAAGTGTATGGGTTGTTATCCTCAGAGGAAAGGAAAACTCGGTTACTACTCATTCTCCTTAGCCTTACTAGCCCTCTCATTCCAACAGCAGCAACTTTATTGCCAAGATTGTTTCTGATCTAAAATGGATAAAATTCACATAGGATCACAGCCTCCTAAAAGGTATCACTGATGATTTCTTACAGGCAAAGGCTATCCCAGAAACACTCTATTCAGCCTTTTCTGTGTGCTAATTTAACGTTTACTCCCTCTTTCCCCTGCCCTTTCCACGTTTATTTTGCAGCTTGCTAGAATAATAGTATTTTAAAATGTCTTCCTGTGTTTATAGGTAGAGAAATCCTCTTGCGTGTTCCTTTGTGTATATCCCCTTTCAATTTTGTTTCACCTACAATTCATTCACTCTCATAGTCTCACTTCCGATACTACGGCTCTCAGCTTGTGCATCGGGATACCTTAAAACAAGCAGCAGGCAAAAATGCCACAATTTCTTCCATTTTCTCTATTACAAGCCCATACTTTTAATTGCTCACCTTTTAGGGGGAAGCAGATATATGTCTATGGTAACCAACAAAAACAAACTATAGCTCATCCTTTCCTCAGCACCACATTCCTCACTAAAGGCTAGCCAGTGGTGGCGAACCTACGGCACACATACTGCAGCAGGCTGTTTGCGGTCAATGAAAGCTCTAAAACATTTGCCATCACTGGGCTAGACACTGAGACGTTAAAACCCAAACACCTTCTGAACCCTGATATACCTCATAAGCATAACATTAATAAAGCATTTCTACAGCCGCTGAGATATATGCAGGTGGAGAAACATCAGAAATAATTGTACAGCAGAGGCCTGAAGAGATTTAATTATACCACTGCTGTTCCCGAACCCTTAAAGTATAGCAAGAGTTAGAAAACTGTGGTCCCAAGGGGCCTACAGAAAGGAAAACTGTACTGATAATTAATAATGCAGCCAACAGCTATTTAGCATCTAATACATACCAGTCAGTGTTGTCACAACAACCCTACTAAGCAGGTACTTTTATCCTCATTTTATAGCACAAGAAATGGAAGTAACAATCAGGGTCATAATGGTGGAGCCAGAATGTGAACCCCACTCCAGAGCTCCTACTCTCACCTACGCTTGTCCAGTGTCTCTCAGGACACAGTGGGTGGACTGGCCTTCCACTCCTTATCTCACTATCCTGAAACCTGGGGAGAAATGCTACCCAGGCCATTCACCTTATATGTCATTTGAGGAATAAGCAAGCAAGTATGTAATTTTACAAAATATTTTTACAAGTCATACAAACAGAAAGCATTAACAGAGGGACTGAAAGTGGCGATGTGTAAGGGAGCTTTGGGAGGAGTACTTCGTTGAGTAGGAAAGCAAGAAAAAATGAATGTGAGAAAGCTTTGAGTATGACAGAGGAAGAGTCGCCAATGCCTTTCTCACTACTCTTCCAAGTTGCTTCTCAACCCTCACTTCCTAGCCCCAAGGATGAAACAGCTCATCTGAAAGTTTTCATTCCAGTGTTACTATGGGACTCCTAGTTAAACTGTCTCCTCGTCCATCTCTTCCACACTTAGTGAAATAGTTATAAACAAAGGGGAAAGATGGAATTTATTTTTGCCTGTAATTTAAAAACTTAAGAAGACAGATTGAGAAGAACCCAAAGTAACTGGGTATGACATCTTAAAAACGGTCTGTTCTTACTTTTATGATTCTAACAGCACTAATTTCTTTGCAAGTTTTGCCAGGGTCTTGGCTGGTCCACCCCAGCAGTAATGTGGAGGCTGAGTGAGGACTTCCATCCCGCTGTAACTAAGGCTGCAAAGCAGCAGGTGCAAACTTCTCATCCTTCAACTTGACTCTTACTGCTTGTGCTCTTATAAGTCTAAACTTGTTAATAGTAAGGTTTGGAATATTATTAGTCTATAACATGTACTAGGTACTACACATTTTTTTTAAAGGCAAAATTAGAAACAGCTGTCTAACCAACACATACCAGCCACTTTAAGATGCTGCCATTTCACATGGTGAGGGGGGGACACTTAATTCCAAGATTAATAGCCACGTAAGCCTGATATTGAAGCCAGATTGGAAGAATTTTCTCTTAAAAAAAAAAAAAGCCTTTTCAGTAATAGAAAGCGCTTTAGGTTTCTCACCAACTCTCTCCCAATGTAATTTAGGTGCTTAGAGATTTGCTGATACAAAGGCTCAGCCATCACTAACATTTTGTTATTTTTTTTTTTGTCGAAAATTTATCTGTGGAAGAATTTGAATTGTATTCACCTTCTCCCAAAGAGCTGAAGCAGCAAAACCTCTTTGCAAAACTGGTTCCATTTAAAATGTCTCAATGTGATCCTGCCAGATCCTAAAATAATTACAGCTTCGAAAGGCAGATGTGGCTTTGGTTCTGAACAAGTCTTATCATCCTGTACCTTTTCATGGGGTGGGAAGAAAGATCAGTGACATAACTATGTGTCAAGAAAACATGCTGAGACAGAAGCCATCTGCTTCTTTGGGAACACCCCAAAGAAAGGTCCAGCGGTTCAAGCACTAGCCAGAGATCCAGCTTTCTTGAGTACGACTAATACCTCTGCCAATTATAGAACTGTATGAGATTTTGAGTTAATAGGGTCACTGCTGCTTCATGAATGACTACAGGAACTATGAAAAAAAGACTTCGTTGACAATGACCATCTGAGCCACCAGAATAGGATTTGATAGCTTAACTCCTGGCAAGGAAAAGATCCTGTTGACCAAGGACAGATGCTGCAGACCTTGCAAGGACACAGCCACCCAGCAATGCCGTCCACACCTAGCCTCTAGTTTTATAAATTATTAATTAGTTATGACTATAAATTAGAGATGAATGAAAGGCCTCTGGGCCTGATGTTGGATGTACTTGTTATGAATGAATTTCAGGCATTTTTTTTCCACTCTAAGAAGGGTAGGTGTACGAGGACTAGAGTCCCTTGCTTGCAGAAATTACTAATGCTACTGCAGCTGTAGAGACCATGTCTATCTCAGATTCTGCTCTAACAGAGGTTTACAAAACCCATTTGCTAGGACAGATAAATGTGGTCAGTCATTTGCTTAATTCAACTTACTGTTGGTATTTTGCTATAGACACTAGATCCAACTCCCAGTTCAGGAAAGTTGAACATCCCTCTCTCCTGGCTATGAGGAAACTTTTTTTGCTTGTAGGTGGGGCAAGTGTGTAAAATTTTTCATATAAACATTTAAATTAAAAACCTAGTAGCTACTGGGGTTCTACAGGGTCCGTAATTCTCCAAGAGGTCAGGCATATACTTGGCAGTCATGACCCAGACTTCTGACAGTCTCATGAGGGCCAAGAGATAAGAGATACACTGGTACTTAAAAAACAAACCGCTTATATGCATCTCTGTATACCTTGGGCTAAGTACTCCCTGTATACACAAGCTTGAGATATTGTTCAAATTTACACTTCACCAGCCATTCACCTTTCTCTCATGCACACAAAATCTGGTAACAGAGACAAGAACTTTTGCTCATATTTTTTTAATGTATCACAATGAGCAGGAAACATACTTGATGAAATATTTCAAAGGAGTATATTCAATTACCATCTACAATCAACTTAACTATGACAACAAAGTTTTTGTGACAAATTTCTTTTTTCAGTTTGAAAGTTCCATGTGGTTCTGTTTGTTAGTCTCCATGTATTTTGGTACAGTTCGAGATCAGCATTGTTACAGTAACAAAAAAGCTAACAAGACTACATTATAGAAAAACACCAAGAACATCATTTTTGGTTTCACTTGCTCTATTTTTTTTTGTTTTTTTTTGTTTTTTGTGTTTTTTTGTTTTTTATACATTGCAAAGGCTGTTCATATACCTCTTCACCTCAGGGTCACGTTCATTTATGCTTTCTTTCCTACCCAAACTTGTCCCTCCCCTCCCCCCTGAAGAAAGTAAACAAACAAAAAACTAGTCAAAGCTTTGTTTCACAGTGGGCAGTATCTCAGCGCCAACAAACAACCAACTCAATTTATGCTTCTATTTAAAATGTTTTAATTTAATTTATTATTTAAAAAAAATATATGTCCATGAACATCAAGTGCACTGGCTTGGGTCATTGCCTCACTCTCCTGCAACTTCCTGCCATGCCTGATAAACTCAGGTTTAAACACATGCCGTCTGTTTTACTTTATTTTCAATTGTGTAAAACTTTGGCCACATTCATCTCTTTAAATAGCTTTTAATTTAAAAAAAACTTCCTAGATGTATTAAACTTTTTCTCTGTGTGTATATGTGTTTTACTTTTTTTTTTTTTTTTTTTTGCAAGGACAGATGAAGTTATACCCCAATTCTGTGGGTCAGTCTGGTGCTATGACTGAATTAGTGTCTAGCACCAACCCACACTAGGGTTATTTGAGAAAAACAAAATGAAAACAAAACAAAAACAATCACCAAAAAAATGAAGTGCCAATAGAGGTTAAGAACTAATTTAAAAAGTAACTTGAGATATCCTACTTGGCTACCTACTATACAGCAGACAGGAGTAAATTCACCAAATGAGGTCAATCTAAACAGTTGAGTGTTGTAGTGAATTCATGCTTTGTAAATGATACAGGCATAGCCACTGTGGATGTCAGTCCAAAAACATGTGACTGGATCATGTCTGACTTCTAGTTTTCACCATCACTGACTACTTTGCTACTTCTGGGTTAGTGCTGAGAACCGCTTTTTCTTTTTTGAATGAACATGCATGTGGGCGGTGCAGTTGTAGAGGAAAGTATTAAGTGTGCAACCCACTCCAGGTTGAAACAATCACATAACCCCTCTGAGGAATACTGGTGGGTGGAAAGCACGCTTAGCCAATCTACCCCCCACCTTATTGTTGCCACACACACCCACAAGTCAAGGCATGGCAGCACAAAGCACTGACAGTCACTCTGCCTCACAGAGGGAGGATGCCATAGTAGCTCAAAAAAAAAAAAAAAATTTAGGGGAGGGGCAGCAAAATTACAAAGGAACTTGAAGTTGAGGGGGAGGGAAAGGGATAGAAATTGCACTATTACCAAGCAATATCATTTTTAAAAACAGTTTTCAGAGAAGACCTAGCAGAATTGGACAGGTAAAGCTAGTGTTAAATTGTTAACTGGTATCACATAGAGAACCGAAAACAAAAACAACTTTTTTTCTATGATACAAACACAGAGTAACATACAACAGTTAAATGGCAAAAAATATATATATATTTCATAGAGTTACAAACAAGATAAAATAATGGAAAACAAAAAACTGTACAACTTTAAAATTTAAAAATGTTCATCTCAAACACAGGGAGAAATACAAGAATTCTTCTTAAAAGGAAATAGCTTGTTAAAACAGTAAATGTTTTGTGTACTTGTTTTTGACACCTTATGCTACAACTGGATACTGATATGAATAGTTAAGATGGTATTCTTTAGTATTTCTACTTAAAAAAAATTAAAAAGGAATTTGCACTGTGCATCAGCCTAGTTAGAAATATGTACAACAGTTCAGGATCTACTCTTTAACTAAAAACAAATTCATAAAAATAGTCCTGGCTAAAAAAAAAAGAAAAAGAGAAAAAAAGAAAAAACTCCATTTTCAGATCTTGGAATGCTCCAGTCTTTTGCAAAGTCGATGAGTGGCTTCAGCACTGGGGAAAGAAGCCGAAAGGTGACCAATGGAACCGGTACTCACAGTCTTCAAAGTTCCCTTTTGAAACATAAGGAAGAGAATGAAGGGGAGAAAGATTTCACACTTTGGGGATACGGGAGATTGTGTCTGGTGATGTTTATTTATGAAAGTGAAACAGCAAAGTATTTGTCTCCAAAACCTACATTTTAGCAGCACAAAGTTTTCCATTCAAAGTTCAGACTGTTTTTTTTTTTTAAAGATAAAAAAGGATGTGTTGCTGTGTCACGTGTTACAGGAATATGGATATTAACATAAATACAAGTGCCTCACATACGGTTTCCTTTTTTGCTTTCTGTTCATTGCTATCTGCTTTGTTGGCTGCGCTCCGGATCACTCGCTGCTCAAACTGCCTAACACAGGACAAAACTTTGAAGTTAAAAATGTGTCTTTTGGTATCTGGAATTGTCATTAACAGTTGCCTCTCTGCTTGCAGAAGAAGCACATAACAACCTGGGAATCTTTCTGTTTTATTCTTTCTTTTACTAAACTAAGTCTTGTTTGTTTAAATCAGAAACAAATTCTCAAGTAACAAGAACCCTTTCCCTTTTTTCTGCATCAGCAGTGAAAGGGTGTGTCTTTGGATTTTATTTAAAGCATGAAATTTCTTTTTCTGAGAGAGGAAAGAAAAAACATAAAAACAAACAAACAAAAAACCAAACCCCTAACCAAAAACTTTAGAAAGAAAAGCACACAGCCCAGTTTACACAAACTGAAACAAATGCTTGAGGTCAGGAAAAGAATATTTGAAGCATCTATCGAATAAGAAGGAAAAGAGGTGCAAAGAAAAGCCAAAGGAAGGATAAATAAAAAATAAATGCACAAGGCTACCAGACATACGTAACTAGAATTATATGCCTTTAAAAAGTTTCAACTCCCCAACCAAAAATAATCTGTGAGGATCCTAATGACCCCTAGAATCCTTTGAAATTTTCTATAGCTTTATAAAATAATTCTGCAGCCACCCTCTAAGAAATGAAGGCAGCTACCTTAAGTGGGAGATTATAGGATGGGAGTTGGGAAGAGGAAAGAGAAAGTGGAATGAAGGGACAAAGGGGAGAAAAGCTTAGGCAAATCAACAGATTGCAATCTATCTGCTAGGAATGAACAAGACAACATCAAATGAGGAGCTGTCAGCTGGACCATACAAAAAGCTAAATGTACACAAAAAGTTTTTTTTTTTTTCCTTTTAAATCTACCATACTGCTTCAGTTCATTTCCAATGCAACAATCTACTCAACACCAAAAATGGTCATATCTATCATAAATACAGAAAGTCAGTTTTTAAAACTTATTTTTTAAGCTACAAGTCCTCAACACTCTTTGTGTATGTGGGTTTTTTTTTTTTTTCTGAAAGTGGGAGTGTTTTAACTTTTCCCCTTGAAATTGGCTTCAGCAGAAAAGCTATCCTTAAAAATCCCCAGAAAGCTAAAGCAGTTCACATTGTTTTTCTCGAATACTTTCTGCCCATTTTTAAATTAAAACAACAAAAAAAAATCTTTTCTGGAACAAAAAAAAAAAAAAACCTGAAAAAATAATATATATAAAACAATGATTCTTTGAACAGAAGGAAGTGTGAGCGATTGGCTTCAGCAGAAAAGCTATCCTTAAAAATCCCCAGAAAGCTAAAGCAGTTCACATTGTTTTTCTCGAATACTTTCTGCCCATTTTTAAATT